GGAAGACCCGCACGGCGCGGCCCCCCCCGCCGGGCGGCCGGCTCGGGACCCGGCGGGGGCGCATCTCCGCGCCGAGGCTGGGGTCAAGCCTGCCTGGCCGAGCCCGGCCGGTGCCCGCCGAGCCCGGCCTTTAGAAGCCCCCCGCGGCACGCACGCACCTTCCGAGGCACCCGCAGCAATGCTGCCCCGGGAGCCGGAGAGCGGTGACCACCGCCTATGCGGGTGGCGTGGAGGGTGTGTGTTAAAATGTGCTCCGGGACATGACGCATCTCCATCAAAACAGTCTCGGCTTTTCGTGTGGGAAAGCTCCTTTATCGCCGACGTTCAGCATCTTTTAAAAAGCGGAGACATACACAGGCAAAATCGAACATACTAAAAATAACTAAATCGTGAAGGAGGGGAGGTGGTCCGTATGGACTGATGTGTAGCTTTTGCACTGCTGCATGCTTTGAATTGTTGAAGTTGTTATTAGTTATCTAACTAAATTAAATCAGATGGCAGAAAGGCATGTTTGACATTTAGGTAAGAGGAGCATGAAGTGTAAAAAGGCGAATGAAAAACGGTATAGCAAAACAGCAGAGTGACTGATTTTCAAAAGGTGTGGCTTGAGTTGGTTTATTTTACACAACAACTTTACTTTTTTGCCAGACAAAAGTCTTACATGCCTCAGATATATAAGTAGTACTAATAGTTATAATCACTGTAAAATTACAAGGACAATAGCCTATCTTAGTTTTCGTGTGTGATTTTTGCACATCATCACACTCAGGGGTTTACTGTAGCGATGGGAGTCTATTGTCTGCCACAGAACATAAGAGCAGCTAGAAGAAATATCTGATGCTATGCAGTCAGATTGCCTTTGATAAAATATTACACATCATAAGAAACAGCAGTTTACAAAAATGTGAAGTGGCTGTAAATCAGTTTATACAGAGCAATTGCCGTGATACATTTTAAAAGATTAAATGTGAACCTTTTTTAACTTGCAACTAGCAAATTAATTTAAACATGAGAGAATAAAAACACGCAGAGATACATGACTGCACTTCGTATTTAGTTTGAAGTTCTTGAGGGTGTAGTTACTGTCTTTAAAGAAGGTCTAAGAACTGTTTCATACTGCATTTCAATGCACATTTTAAGTCTTAATTGGAAGGTAAGTATTTCACAGGAACTGTTTTCACTTTGCATGGGTGGAGGCTGGTAATTCCATCCGTCGTTTATATAAAATATAGTTGTTATGAAAAGCTTCATGGTTGTCACTTGAGCTGTAATTGCCATACATTATGCACTGTTCACTGGAATAAATTGTGTGCAATGACAACATATATCTAGAAAATATGCATTACAGAGAAGGATCTGTTATGTCGATTACTCAATCACTGAGCATGGATTATACCTGAAAGTGATTTTTGTTTTATCCAGACTACTTTAGCGTGCCTTACAGATTAAAGTAGGTAGATGTGCATTTTGACACAAACCAGAATGTAAGCTGCAGTGAAGTGTTGCATGTTCTCAGTTAACTGTACTTCACATGGTTTCCTTCTCCAACAGATTGGGAAACAGAATGCCATTTGATGGAGCCAGTGAACCTGACCATGCCCATGGGTCATTAAAGTCTGAATCAGACATTTTGCAGAACACACTACCTGAAAATGAGAAACTCTATTTTGATCTGTCCAGAATTATTGATAGGTGAGTTTCTTTGTTATCATAAATACAAATGATGATGCACTACTTGAATTACACCAAGAGATCGATCACATTTTCAAACTGAGAAATAGGAAAGGAAGAATCAATTACAGAAAAAAACCACATGGCCTCTGCTTGAATACTGGTAGCAGTAGGAGTGTCTGCAGAAATGTTGATTGCATTGCCGTTCTGGCATGATGAATTCATTCACTTCCCAGAGAGGGCTAAAAAGTATATTGTGAAAATCTGGAAGCTGTTTTATGAAATTAGCTTAATTTAATATGTACAATAGATAACTTAAGGAAAGCAGTATATTTACAAAATGAACGTTATCAAAATGATATGAACCCAGGTTGTATTGTAGAGTTTATTTATTGTCCATTTCAGAAATGCAAGGCAAGCTGATGGAATTTTCACCAGTGTCTACAGCCATCTTTTGGCTAAACTTGCTGTGAAGAGATATCTGCATTCGCTTATTAGAAAACGAGTTAGGTGAGGTGACACTTACATTAGGTAGAGTTTTTTCCTAGCTGGCTTCATTGGCAATTTTTTACCCTTCTGTACCTAAGATCTCATTTTTGTGATTTAGAGATAATGAAAGAGAAACGGATATAGTGATGGGGGAGCTGAAAATCCTATGTAACAACTTAGTAGTATTTGTTACCAAATGAATACGTTACTATTTATTCCTGATACAGCTGTGAGGGGTAGAGCAACAGACACTGCACATAGCACTGATAATATATACTGGCAATATTATAATGATTATCACGCCAATTTGCTCATTTTTTTCTCTGGTAGTGTTTTTACTAGCTTGGCGGATGAATGGCAAAAGTAAATGCAAAATGACTGATTACTCAGTACTTGCATAACAACAGGGGAATGCTCAATGAAATTAAGAAACAATTGGTTTACAGTGAAAGCAAAAAGGAATGATTTTTTTCCTATTGCCATATGTTTGGGAGATCTGTATTACGGAAGGATTCAAAAAAGAATGAGGCAAATCCGTAGACAAGGGATCTGGATGCAACTTCCAGACCAGGACATTTATAAACTAATGGTCGCAGGATGCTGGGAAGGGTCGCTGTATACTTCCCCTGTTTTCATATCCCTAAGCAGGAGCTACTGGGCACTCTTGGGAATGGAATAGTAGAATACTTCAGTCTGACCCAGTATGACAGTTCCTTTGAGTGCCTACTTCATATGCTCAAAAGCTGAGTGAAAATTAGGTCCTGCATTTATATCAATGCTGCCTTTGTTCCAGAACATATAGTGCCAGTTTCTCATACGCTGTAAACTAACATAGATCATTTAAAATGGAACATACTGAGGCTTCCCAAGATTGTGCATGAAAAATAGGCCTCCAAGTTTGGATTTCACAAGGTGTGTTTTGTCTCCTGATACCTCCTTAAAACAAGCATTAGTAGTTACGTATGTGATGCTACACTCCTGCTTTCCTCAGAGGCAGGATCCGTCCTCACCGAGTTCAATACTAACGGTGACCAGGTCCTTTAAGAGCTTACTGTGACTGAAACCAGTCTGCACCTTGGCATTGTACTAAAATATATTTACGCAAATGATAGAAATCAGAATAAAGTCAGTTTATTAAAAAGAGTATCTTGGGCTATGAGAACAGACAGGAGAGAGTCATGAAATCCACACTCAGCCATTTGATCCTGCAGAATTCCTGGGACAGGGACTCTAGAAATCATTCAGTATGGATACTAATTGCATGGGCCATGGCAAAGCTGAGCAGCAGAAAGAAATCAGTGGAAGGTGTGCCCAAAAAGACTGAATACCGATCCTTAGAATTTTATCCTTGTTACTAAAATGCATAATAGGCAATAGAAGCAGTGGCTTGTTTTCAACAGAAGAAAGATCCAAAGTCATAGCTGGAAATGAAAGCTGAAATGAAAATTTGATTTTATTTAGCTAATCAACATTGTAAAGTTTTTTTTCACTCATTTAATGGTATCTTCTTTTAAACGGATATCGTCTATTCATTTTTTCTTTGTAATTGTTGTATTGCCAGCTCCCAGGACAGTCCTGTCAAGCGCCACTCTGACGCCGTCTTCACTGACAACTACAGCCGCTTTCGAAAGCAAATGGCTGTGAAGAAATACTTAAACTCAGTTTTAACTGGAAAAAGAAGGTACTACAAGAAAGCAAATACATGTTGTTTCCATACTTGTATGGTATTAAGACAGAAAAGATTTATACCCACGTATGTATACAGAGAGGACAAGCAAAAGGCAATGAACATTAATGACTTTATAACGTAGTTTGTAACATGGTTTTCAAATACAGACAGCATTTTCTTCCAGACTGGAACAGACACTACAATGAGATTAGAATAAAAGAATAAAGAGGAGACAGCATCTGGCAATTTTAAAAAATATTCTGACAGATTCTTAAAATGGTTTTATTTATAAAAAAGCCTCTTAAGGAAAAATCCACAGAGCTATGGAACATGAACAACAATTTTATAAAGAAAATGCACTATTTGTTGAAAATTTGCCTTTAAGTAAACACACAAAATGAAAATTTAGAAGTCACAGAAAGACCATATGTCCTAATCAGTATAGGTGAGAAGTGCTAGCATATGGTTTTGTAGAGCTTATATTCTGTTTGTTTATTCACTCATTTAGACAACTGCTTTTAAATGTTGTGTCTCTTCACTCATTAAACATGCTATTTCATGTGATTTGTAACACTTTCGTATAAGTGTAACAAAATGTGCAATAGCTACAGTTAGAAGGCGGCTTTGGTTGCTCGTTTGCTTTTTCTGGTGAGAGCAATAAGACTTGTTTCTGATCCACAACAGCCAGGAAGAGCTCAACCCCGCTAAACTTCGAGATGAAGCAGAACTTCTTGAACCTTCCTTTTCAGAAAACTATGATTCTGTAGATGAGCTGCTGAGCCACATCCCACTGGTATGTCCAGATTTTCTTTCCTCTTGCTATCTGTTACTTGACTTGACCCATGAAATGAGAGTCATCATACATGAAGTGTGGCCTATCAGAAAAGCAGAATCATTTAGGAAAGAGCCATGTTCCATGAAACACTGCATGTTTCTACAGGGATTGTGTCTGAATATAATAATCATTGTAATAACAATAATTAAGTTATCCCATGATTGCTGTTATTGAAAATTCCTAATTAAATGGGACTGTTAATAATGCACCTGACTCACTTGGGTGTTTCAACTTGTGTTCACTGCAGCATTAAACCAGAATTGACTCATTTTTAATTACAAAAATTATTATTTCTTCAGAGAACAAACTCAAGGATATTTCTTTTAATTTTTAAAAAAAAAGCTGCACATTTTGTTTAACATCTATTTCATTAGAAGGGAGTTGCCCCTAAAACTAAGAGGATCAGCAACATGACCCCTAAGCATTAAGAAAGCACTTGACTCCCATCTAAGGTGTGCTGCAGAGGGATTGTCTGACATGCAAATATTGCAGTTACTGTTTTCCATTTAGCTACTACTATTTTTCCAAAATCATTCACAAATATGTTTCTTTGGTGTGCTGAAATGTAAACTCTTCTACATCACAGCACTTGCAGGGACATAAAATTGAAAGGATAACATAGAAGTGAATCGGGCTTGGGATTCTTGAAAATGTCTTATGAAATTGATGGCAGGATGGGTTTTGGCATTCAGCTGTGTCTGAACTACCAGTACAAAAAAAGGCTACTCTTGAAGATAACATTGGGGGGGGGATAAAAGAAACAAAATTTCTCCAAACTGTTGTTTCCTTCCAAGACTGAAAGAAAACGTTCTTTTCCTTTCCACAAATGTGGCAGTTACTCTAAAGTTCTCAAAGATGAGAAAGGACATAAACTGCTTATGCCTCAAGGAACAAAACAATTTGTAAATGATGTGATTCAGGACAGAAATGTTCTTTCTAGACAAGATTATTGCAAAAATACCTGCTCCTGGATTTTGTGCCTTCTAAAACTTCTGGCATTGACTTAAGTAAGAGAGAGTAATGGTGCAGCAGGTCGTGGGTGTCTTCCTGGAAATATTTTCAGTCCTTTCCTTTTTTATGGACTGTGCTGATGATCCAGATCTCCCTATAGGTGAATCAGTGCCCAGTTGCTGATGTAGTGTGGATCAAGCACCCTGAATTCGTGTATCCATTTCAAGGATACAGTTGTTTTCAAAGTGAGCTGTTCTGCGCTGTAGACCAATGCGCAGTCACATTTTTGCCTAATCCTTCAACCTTTCTTCCTCATCCTACAGCCACGTCTGCTGGCTATAATGCCCACCAAGCTCCTGTGAATAGCTCCATCTCATGCTTGTCAGTCCCAAGCACAGCAGTTGTTTTATATCAAGTGTTACTTCTTGTCCACTTTTATACACCTCGTGGTGCAACTGTTTATGAAAATGAGTTTTAAAATGTGTTTCTCCTTTGCTTTTCAGGACCTCTGAAGGACACCCGGTAAAGTCTATGACAAGAACAAGCTATTTTTGAGTTCCACATAGTATTTCAAAGAGATGACTTTAGTCATCAAACCAGAACAAATATGTTGTGAAGTGAAAGTTGTGATATATTTGTTTCTTATGTAATAAAAGTTGATATTTACATTGTAAATATTACTCTAGAGTTCTCTACTGAAAGCTGTACATATGGATGCCAGTTTAACTCATGAGAAGTCTGTGAGTCCATATGCTGTAAATCCTTTACTTCAATAAATTCATTTGAAAATGAGTGTGCAGCTGAAAAAAGCCCATCATTGCTAATTAATTGGCTTATTTTAGATGTGGTACAACTTCAGATAAGCCTGTATGATAATAGGGATGCATTTCAAGATAGCTTCACAAACAAGTGTAAAAACGTGAGGAAAAGAATGTGCAAAGTGTGTAAAACTGCATTACAAAGATCTCTGAAGGTTACTGCCAAGCAAAAGGGAATGCTTTTCTAGCATCTTACCAAGCAAGTAGAGAAAGTGAACAAGCATTAAAAATTATTTGACCTCCAACAGCATCTTTCCTTCCTGTTCACATTTTAATATTTCACAATGTACAAATTATATTAAGACCAGAAATGTATCCTTTATTTTCAGTTGTGTTTTGGATGCTCTGGAGCTGACAAAGCACACAAAGAATGCTATCCCTTGATTCGTTTCATGCCTAAAGTCACTGATTATTCTACATTTAATTGTCTGTAGCTTTGATGATGAAACTGTTCCTTATATATAAAATAGATCTGAAGACACTTTACTATTTTTTCAGAATGAATGTAATTTACAGAGTATGCAGACAATAAATCATTTTATTATCACGGCAAACTATTACTGGTTTGAATCAGTGCTACAAGTACCTGTAACAGTAGAAGTCCCAGTAAGTGCTGTCTCTACTACAGTAATAGAGGATGATATTATTTTTTAACTGAGGTATACTATGCTATTTTAGAAAGACAAGCAAGTAAGCCTCCAGTCCGCATTTTTTTAGCTTTATATCGTTGTAGCTTAGTGTGGAACTGGAAATTTGCAGCTGATTCACTGCTGCTGTGTATCAGAATCTGGTTGTATTTTATTAAAATTGTAGATTTAACCAATTGGATCATTTTCTAAAGAATTATTTATTGTTGTAAGGACCCATAGTTCCACTGCAGTAAGGAAAGTGTGCAGTACTGCATGCACAACATATGAAATGCATATTCATGCATGATACTCCCATGACTCCCCTCCCACCTCCTAGAAAGAGATGAAACTTGAAGTAGAAAAACTTATCAGACCTACTTACAAGTTCAATTTGGAATTTCAAGTATATTTATATATCATACATATGCACACATAGACAGTGATAAAACTGATTTACAAGTTTCACTTACAAGTTTACTGTTCTCATTTAGAAGGAAGCTTTGAACATGATAAAATTTGAGATTCATGGAGACTAGTTCTCATAAATATGTAGCCTTCTGATTTGCAATTTTTTTGAATATTGGCAACTGCGTGTCAAAAGAAAACCAGCCTTGACAGAATTTATTTTAGCCTAAACCAATGAACGGTTCACAAAACTTAGACATAATTTTGAAGACTTCTCTTGAAAAGTGGTCTTCTAATGGTGGTCCACTCTCAATTCCTATGTTATGAAAATTTGGGTGTAAAAGTGGCTTTGGAAATACTTGAAGGATACTAACAGACTGATGCTATAGTACTTAATTGGAAATTTTCTTCAGTGTAGTTTGAACTTTGTTAGGATTTCTGTGATAAGTAATCTTTAAAAAAATAAGTGAAAAAATTAAGCAGAAGCAAAGCTGTTTATGGTCTTCACCACACAACTTTTTGTTTAAATATACATAATGTTCATTCACTCAATTTAAAGTAACAAAAATTGGAGCGATCAAACTTTTGACTCCACAATTCCAGAAATAGTTCTTTTTTTTTTTTTTTCCTAAATTTCCCTTTTTTATTTATTTCCAGTTTACTAATACGGCATCTGATGGAAGAGCTCGTCTTCCATGTCTAACGTTTAATCTCCCCAATATTTTGTTCTCCACAGAAAACTACAGAACCTTAGAACATGTATTTTCTCTGTTACAATGAAGATGGAGTGGGTTAAGGAAAAAAGGGATGCTTATTAGGAAATCATATATATATTATAAAATAAAAAATTAATACTCTCATTGCAATAACTAAAATAATACTGTGATAGCTTCCTCAGAGGGTTAGCAAATAGAGACTAAAAGGCATGCTAAATTTTATGGACATTTTAGCAAACCCTAGCACAGAAAGGAGAGATACTAACCTCCAGAATAATATACTTGACCTGATATTTGTGTTAAAGGATGGCTTTTAACTTGGCATAGCAACTTTTGACATTCTATAGGAGATATAAGGCCCAATTAATACATTGAGACTAGTTAATTGTGGAAGATGTAACATTGTTCAGCTCAACTCCATGGGCAAGTGGTTATGGTAAGGTTAAATGATAAAATTGAAGAGAAAATTGCAACATTTCATTGAATGAGACAAATTTTCAGTCTGTCAGTGAGTCTTGACACGTCACCAATCTTAGAACCCATCTGCAAAATGTCATAAGAGTGGAATCAAAGTGCTGCGTTAATTAGGAGAATGAAAGGGGCAGCTCCAAAGAGAGTGTCAAGAGGACTGCTAGGAGGAAAACAAATACCCGGGAGATTTAGAAGACCATCACTGGCAGAGAGAATGCAACCACTCGGGAGAAAGGAATAAAACTGTGCAGTGTTATTGGGGTATATGTTAAAGAAACATCTCACCATGTTTCTCCAGAATTTCACTTCTAACACAGGGTAGGAATACCTGCGATCGTAGAGGACAGAACTGATTCTTTTTTTGTTTTATTGAATGGGGTTTGCTTTTCGGACCTACCCCATGGAGCTCTTAAAGAAAGGGACACAATCACCTTTAAGTGAATCTTTACCAGCACTGGAAGGGGATATTTTCTGGTCCTGAATCCACAGAGAGGATTTGCATGCTTGTGTGGATCCGTACAACCATGACCCACTCAAGAGCAACCCTCAGGATTGTGTGTAAGACCGTGAGAATTACAAAAGTTGACAAAACATTTTAGAATTGCTGCTGGTAAAAACACGTTAAATGAATAAAACCCTAACAGCTGCTCTGGTATTTTAAATGGGTTTGAGGGGCTATGCGTGTTTGTTCCACCTGAAAGCCTGAGACAAAATTTCTGTTTAAAAATATGAAAATGGGTAACTTTGATCCAAAGCATAGGTATAACTTCATGTATAGGAATATTGAATTGTCCCCAAAGACAGACCTTTTGGGAAGAGATGTGTGTATACAGGAACAATTTATTTGCTTGCAAGGCATTAGGGAAAGGTAGATGGAAAAGGCTGTCCATTGACTCTTATGATACTGCCTATGCTTTCCACTACCTCCTTTATTTTTCCGTATTTTCTCTCTTCCTCCTCCACTTACAACAAGCTTCCCCACTCTTTGTTAATACTCTCACCTTTGGCTTGCAAAGCTAGTGTATGAATGTATACCTATGTTTTTGAGAGGAAGAGTTACAACAGACCTTTCATTTATGGTGCAGTAATCTAATAACTGACAGCCTTGGTTATGGAGATGAGTATTGCAGAGAACCTGGCACAACCAGATTTGAAGGAGCAACCTGTCCTGCTCACAAACAGGCCCTGACTTCCCACTGGAGATTTCCCATTTGGATTGTGACTGGTGCAGAAGGCTGACCTTTCCTTGGATACATCAAACAAAACGTGTGGTCTCCCGGCGCTCACGCTGGCTCAGGCAACTACAATATTTTCAGCTTTTATCCTTTCAGCTTTGGAACAGTCACAGAAAATTGGCTTGCCAGGTTGACAAGCTGTTTTAGGATTGGAGGTAGGAAACTAGACACCGATCTTTTACATCAATCTTTAAAAATGTCCAAAGAATAATTTGATGCATCTTCTGCTTCTAAAGTAAACAAACAGGAAAATTTTACTTCAGTTTTATACGCAGATACATGCAGGCCACTTAGTAGGGAGGGGAAAAAACAGCTTTCCCTTGTGAGGGTAAGTATTTTCAATAACTTAATTGATCAACATTTGTAAATAAAAATATGACTGATTATTCAAAGATTAAGCTGACAGTGACGTAAATCATAATGGCACAGTGAAAAAGATAATTCTTTTATCTAAATATCAAAATTGTCATGGTGAGAACAATATTTTCTATAGAGCATGTTTTTGGGAAAGAATAAGGGTTGTTTCAATAATAAGGGCAAAAAAAGAAAAAAAAAGATCTTGTCCTTCCCCACTTGAGTGAATTATTTAATACTAGATAGAGTTTTTGCATAGGATAATGCACTTAAAAGAGTGTACATGAAATTGGTGTGTAAGATCTATTTTCTGAATCTTTTCTGGAACTGTCCCGGACATTTCAAAGCTCTATTTCACATTTCAGTGAGACCACAACATCTGAGAGTCTAAGTTATTTCCAAACATGAGATATAAATGCTTTTAATATGTTGATCTTATTACTTAATGGTTGTCAAGTCAGAATTTGCTCTTATCCAACAAATACCCTCTTTTTGGCATGGGGGGGGAAGCAGAAGAGAAGCTAAAAACAGTCACTGTCTCCTATTGTTAGATGAGATGGATCAGTGAAGACCTTTTTACTTAGGAAAGGCACACAGAACAGCAATTTTTGCCAGTAGCATATGAAATAGCCAGGTTATTGGCTGGGTAGGACAGACAGAATGATCTTTAGTTTTGCTTGTAAAATTACCTGATAGTGTTGCCTCTTGGCCAAATGGTAGGAGGTTTTAAGTTCTTGCACATCAGCTTTTTGATAGAGAAGAAATCATTATATGGAGCCTGGGAGGCTCCCAGCTGTTTGCTTATTTTACGTACTATTGAACTGCCTTTTACTGGAAGTGGTCACAACTATGTTTGACAGATGCCTTATCACCATTTGTTGCTATTCCAACACAGCTCTTCATCCTTGTCTTTCAGCCAATCCCTCTTCCCATAATCACAGCCAGAACATCTGCATGCTGTTTTAAACAAGCAATTTTGCCGCTTATTAAGGAGCATAGAAAGCAAACTGCTGTATTCTAGGAAGACTCTTCATGACAAAGCTAGGGATATATAATTTATGCAGAAAGACTGAATCTTGGTTGAAAAGTAAGAAGAGTTTGAAAAGTTCTGTATTTGGTGCCAATGGTTTCAGTCCTGTCCAGTGATTCCTTCCA